ATGCTTTTTAGTCAGGCTCAAAATGGAGGACATTTTGAAATTCCTCCTGGGCAGAAAAAGGCTGAAATGTAGGAAAGGTCCAGGAAAAGTAGGACGTCTGGTCACCCTGCTTGAGGGTGAGTCTCCTCAATCATTTTGGTTGCCCATTTCCAGCTCTAGAATATAACTTTTTGGGTATGGTGACCACTGTTATACATACCACTGTTATACATAATATTTTTGGGAAAACTCTGCTGGCCATACAACAAAATAAAATCCACAAAGGAGTGATACCTTTGTGGGCCAGCCACAACGCACCGCTGTACATAGTACTGTCTTTATACTGTAGAGCCAGGCTGGTGTTGTGCCTTGAGCACTGGACTTGGGCTCCGGAGACCAGGGTTCGAATCTTTCCCTGGGTGACCTTGGGCAAGTCACACTCTCTCAGCCTCAAATGAAGGCAAAGGCAAACCTGGGGGGTGGTGGTAATCCTTGATAGGGTTGCCCTAAGTCAGACAGACCTTGAAGGTATACAACAACAACTTCACATAAGGGCAGTATGGTATTGGCGCATTTTTCTGTGGGAGGGGGCATTGTTTTAGGCTGCCTCCACACTGGAGAAATAATCTGGTTTGACACCACTTGAACTGCCAGGGATCAATGCCATGGGATGCTGGGAGTTGTAGTTAGTTGTGGTACCAGAATCCAGTTCTGCTCTGGTGCCACAACCAACTACAATTCCCAGAATTCCATAGCCTTGAGCCATGGCAGTTTAAGGTCCAAAACACACTGCAGAAATAATCCAGTTTGAGACCGCTTTAACTGCTAGGGAATCCTGGGAACTATAGTGTTTGTGAGACATTTAACCTTTTTTGTCAGAGAACTCTGGGGTCACAACAAACTACAATTCCCAGGACTCCCTAGCACTGAGCCTGGTTAGTTAAAGAGGTCTCGAACTGGATTATTTCTACACTAAAGGTGTTTTCAAGCCCTACTAGGAAAGAGGAGCTTGCGGCCTTCCCAAGGTTGGTGGGAGGTTTTACACCGGATTCACACAGAGCGCTGCCCCGCAAATGGACGGCGGTGTAGGGAAGGCGATGGGGAGCCGGACGTTTCTCCACAGACACAGAGCGGAGCCGGGGAAGGAAGGAAGGAAGCGGCGGAAAGAGGCTGCTCTGTGGGGTTAGTGCTGCCGGCGGGGCGGGAGAGGGCTCGCCAGGGCAGAGCTGACTGCCTTCCCCATCATCCCCTCGCGTCCATGTTCCTCCTCAGGAAGCAAGGGGTCACTAATTAGGCGTTGCTAATAGGGCAGGTTGAGAGCCTGCGTTTTAGTGGTTGGAGTGTTGTACTGTGACCCCGGAGACCTGGGTTCGAATCCTGGCTCGGCCACGGAAACCCACTGGGTGGCCTCGGGCGAGTCACACTCTCTCAGCCTCAAAAGATAGCAATTGTCAAAAAAACCAAACCCATTACACTATGTGTATCTACAGGTTTAGCCATGGCATAGTGGTTTGAGTGTTGGATTGTGACCCTGGAGACCTGGATTCAAATCGGCCTCGGGCGAGCCACACTCTCTCAGCCTCAAAAGATAGCAATTGTCAAAGCCCCCATTACACTGTTTATGCGTATCTACAGGTTTAGCCATGTTTAGCCATGGCATAGTGGTTTGAGTGTTGTATTGTAATTCTGGAGACTTGGGTTTGAATCCTGGCTTGGCCATGGAAGCCCACTGGGTGGCCTCGAGTGAGTCACACTCTCTCAGCCTCAGAAGATAGCAATTTTCAACCCCCCCCCCATTACACTATTTACGTGTATCTACATGTTTAGCCATGGCATAGTGGTTTTGAGTGTTGGACTGGACTCTCAGCCTCAGGGGATGGCAATGGCAAGCCCCCTCTGAGCAAATATTGCCAAGAAAACCCATTGATAGGTTCCCTTTAGGGCTGCCATAAGTAAAAAATGACCTGGAGCCACAGAACAGTAACAATTGGGCAAGTGATGCTCAAGCCAATCCCTTATCGGTTTCACCATAGCATTAAGACAAGGCAAGGGTTTAGGCAACCTTTCCCCTTTAAGGGCCGAGGGACTTCAGCTCCCAGAAGCCTCAGCCATGTTGGCCAATAGTCCCATGTTGGCCAATAGCTCCTGGGATTCTGGGAGCTGAAGTCCCTCGGCCCTTAAAGAGGAAAGGTTGCCTACCCTTGGTTTATGGAATCATCGATTCTCCCTGGTGCAATGGTTTGAGTGTTGGACTACAACTCTGGAGACCAGGGTTCGAATCCCCACTTGGCTATGGAAACCCAGTGGGTGGTCTTGGGCAAGTCACACTCTCTCAACCTCAGTGGAGGGCAGTGGCAAACCCCCTCTGAAGAAGACTGCCAAGAAAATCCTATAATAGGTTCACCTTGTTGTTGTGTGCCTTCAAGCCATTTCCAAGTTATGGCAATCCTAAGGCAAACTTATCCTGGAGTTTTCTTGGCAAGATTGTTCTGAGGAGGTTTGCCATTGCCTTCACCTGAAGTTGAGAGAGAGTGACTTGTAAGCAGAGGCTGGATGGCCATCTGTTGGGGATGCTTTGATTGGGAATTCCTGCATGGCAGGGGGGGTTGGACTGGATGGCCCTTGGGGTCTCTTCCAACTTCTATGATTCTATGACTTGTCCAAGGTCACCCTGTGGGTTTCATGGGTGAGCAAGGACTCGAACCTTGGTCTCCAGAGTTGTAGTCTAATACTCAAACAACTATGCCATGATGGCTCTCAGGTTCGTCTTAGTTGCCGTAAGTTAAAAATGACTTGAAGGCCACAAGAACAAAACTCTCCCTGCTCTTTCCTTTAAAGTGGTCCGTTTGTAGGAGGGCTCATGGAGTGAAAAATAAAATCAGTTTTTCTTCTTGTATTTCCCTGGGTCCTTGAACAGATCAAGCCAGAACTGTCCCTGGAAGCCAGGATGACTAAATTGAGGCTGTCGTACTTTGGCCGCATCATGAGGAAAAATGAATAATTAGAAAAGGCAATGATGCTAGGAAA